ATAAGAGTAGCACAAAAAGAAATCACGTCAAATATTTGCAACCAAACCGATCCAAACCCAGAAGATTTTTATAAATGAATTTGATGGGTAGAGAGAGAACCATTTAACGAATGGGAGCGTAAAAAAAAATCAGCGTTTTCAGGACTTGAATACACTCGTAAAGTGCTTTGTGTTAGCGTGATATGAAATGATAAAGCATTCATTATATTTATGATTTAAAATTATGATCGTATCTGATTTTAAAGAGAATTACTGTTTGTTTATTATTTCCACTCGTGTTATCAGCGATATATATTATTATTTTTGATCATGTACTGTAGTTTAAGGACTTCTTCACATCATTTTCCTTCTTCGTTTTAAACATTCAGGTTTATAATTTGAAATGAATTGAATGAGTTTCATTTTTTTTTTCTCTTAAGTTCCATTGCTTTTGATGCCTGTCCATATTTAATGCTTTCAATTTAATTATCGAATCTTTTCTAAAACAACAATCTCTTAAAAGTATTCTGAAGTATGTACCTTACAATTTTTTATTTTTCGTAGTTTTTTGCAAATAAAAGACTTTGTTTGCAGCTGCTGACCAATAATTTGATTTGGGATCTGAAATTTGACAGACGAATTTTAACTCATGAATGTTGCTTTGAATAAAATCAAAAAGCTTTTTTTGAATGATTTCTGTTTAGGTAGTAATTTTTGTTTTAGTTTTTTTTTTTTTTTTTTAATGCGGCTAATGCAATCTGTTCAGGATTCTAAGGTTTGCCTCTGCTTTTAATATGAACAAATTATTAAGTTTTTAATATAAACCCGCTAATTAACTTGATGTGAACCAGATCATCATTATGTTTGTTTTTGGCATAAATCAGTTTTTAAGATTCATTTTTAGTAAAGCTTCAGTGCCAAGAATTACGGGTTAGAATTCCGAAAAGTGAATGCTTTCATCCGAATGATTTAATGATTTAGCCGTTTTTTCTGAGCTTAATTTGCAAATTATGGATTTAATTTCGCTACTCAATTAAGCTTTTATCGTAGTTTATTTTCCATTTCGTGTAAGTCTCTCAAAAGTAATCAACCAATTGTGATAATATAAACGAAAACAAATTAAAAAAATTGATCAAGATGTATTGAAAATTCGCTACATTGCCATGTCGGCGATTCAAAAATTATTGAAATTACGCATGAAATTTGCAGTAGTGTCTTGGAAGGGTATAAGCAAGATATTGGATTTATTTTGCTTAACTAGTTAATTTGCTTCTGAGAAGCTTATATAGCAAACAAAATAAGTTGCCATTAAAGTTTGACAATTACAGATGTAAGTAGATAGCGATAATATTATTAGCAGTTTCTATAAAGTTGCAGAAGAAGTAAAATCATTTCGTGATTAAATTATAAACCCTTTCGTAAAACTGTGGTGTAATAAACTTTCGCCATCGTTTCCAATAACTATTCCAGAATTCAAACTTGCAAATTTTGGCAACTACTTGTATTTTAATAAACTGAAATTTTTTCCTTCAAAACGACTAACAGAATGTTAGCTCATTTACACTATATTATTGTATTATTTCTGATATTATCCTGTAACTGTCAGAAAATAAATGTGACAGATGTGTTTGATGTAAGAGACGAGAATCAGAAAACTACAAAGTACGACATAATTCTGCTTTTTGCTGTCCTCTTCCTTTATTGTATTAGTAATACATTGTTGGCGATCATGCTATTCTGTAAAGGACAAGATAATCATTACAGTCATGAATTTATTCTTATCGCATTACAACTGATTACTTCCATTCAGATGTTTTTTCTCTTCTAGATAATTCTTATATTACTTGGAATATTACAGACTTAAAACAATTCATACAGTAAGCTATCTTATTCACATTCCTAAAATATCGTTTATTGTAGTGGCAGTTAAGTATTGATTTTAGTATTTCATCTAAAAATGCTATTGTGAAGAAAATGGAATTGAAACATAGTAAATATGTTTAAGATGATGCTATTCAATTGTTCAAATTCAACAGTAATCATTTTCGTATGTAAAATTCAATTTTTATTATTTTTTACTAAAATTTATAATTCAACTTTGTACAGCAAAGATTTCAATGGTATTTTATAATACATTTGAATAAAAGTGTCCTCTCGTTATAATTTTTTTTTTTTTTTTTTTCTTGAAATTCAGGTTATACTGCAATATTTTTTCATTTTTTCATTAGCAAAAAAATTTTTGTTGAGTAACTAACTTGCTTGTGTTTCAGTAATTCGAACGATATGATTTATCCGTGCATTCTCAACTTTCCAGACTTTTCCAGATATCATTTCGACGCTGAACCGTTTTGTGGCATAAATATTACTCTTTTTTTTTCGAATCAGCACGGCTATATTCTCTCATTATTTTTACTTAGTTACAGTAATTGCACTCATGAATTTAACATTTTGAGATTCCTGAATTTATTTACTAAAGTTATTGACACTAAATTCTAGAAAAAATTAGGATTTCCTCGATAATAGATTTATTCAAATTTAAATTATTTAATTTTATTTTTTTTTTCTATTATTTGACACAATTAGAAATCTTAATGTCCTTCACGAAATTTATCATTATCTTATCTACAATTTACCAGTTTCTGTTGTTGCGGCAGAACATTTTTTTGTCTCAAACTTGGCTCGAAAGCAAATTGAAAAAACAAATGAATCTTGGTTGAAGACATCTCTTAGTAATATTTTCAGTTTTCATTAAATTTAAATTTAAAATTGAAATAACTGAGGTATAGCATTTTCTTGCATTCTGCTACTCCGAAATGATAATAGAAATTTCTCTGACTACTGTCTTTTCACTTCTTGGAATGCCAAACGCCAAACCAATAACACAATATTTTTTTTTTTTTTTTTTTCTTATTGACTTTAAAACAATTATTTGTTTATTGCTCTTCAGCATTCGTCATTTTTGAACTTTGTCCATATCTAATTGTATCGCAATATTGTACACCTATATGTTCGCAAATACTATTTTACAACAAATAGCATTGAAAATCAAGTAGCACGAACTACTAAATTGTCATTCGTTATATAACAAAATAGCTAATAAGATCTGCCGATTATTTCAAAGTCAGTTTGGAAAATTTTTGTTTTTTATGAAATTTGTTAAATTCTAAAACCTTCCCTCTAATCTTAAATTATTTTGCAATTGAATTAAAGAATACCTTAGACGTTTAGTATATTGCAGCCTGAAGTCGTTTCTTTTTAACTACGTGTCACCAATTATGATTCCCTATTATCTATCCTTCTTTTATTTACAGTAATCAGTCACGTAACATCATAAGGACGTCATTTATAGAAAGTTGAAGCGTTAAAAAAATATGACCACTATTTATAAAGTAACTACAATAAAGATTGAGTTTTTTGAAATTTCTTTTTTTTTCTTTTCGATAAATGATTTTGAATATATTTTTTGCATATTTTTGAAAATCGAAATTTGATTCATTTGAACTGAAACCATTTCTGTAACGTTATGACTTTCTCAGCAAACTTAGCTGCAAAATTGTTTCATCTATAGTTTCGATTTTCAAAATATTACCGTAAGTATTGAGTATTAAGTATTGAGTATTTATTCTCAAAGCTTTTGCATATTATTGTGATAATCAATTAATCCTGTTATCCCATAAGGAGATCTAAACGGAACTTGGTAAAATAACTGGTTGTAATTATGATGTAACGGATTTCATTTCTCTAAAATTTTACCAAATTTTCTAAGGTTGAGAAAATGTTAAATTAATTTTGTTTTGATTGTTTTTGATTAGTATATTTGATATATTCGTACACATTAATGACAATAAATTTTGAAATATTAATGAATAAAAAATTGGAATAATAGAAGTGTCGTCACAAATTTCAAAATGATGTATGACTCTAATTTGATTTTAGTTTGCATCGATGCTATTCTGTTTTTGCACTTTCTGTTAGCATTTTTAATTTTATCTGAGAAGTGTGTTGAGAAATTTTGATTGAAAATGCACTTTTGAGAATATAAAAAAGCATAGATTGACAAATTTTCAATAATATTCAAGAAACAACACTACTTGTAGTGTCTTTAATCAATTTAAATTTGTAGAAAATCCGATTCTCACTGAAGTTGCGTACCCATTATTACTCTTTTATTTGTCCACTTATTCTGCCAGAAATGGGGATGCGACCAATGTGTTTGACATAAGAGACCAGAATTATAGGACTACAAAATATGCAGCAGTTCTAAGTTTTCTTGCTCTACAGTGTTAATAGTGATACATTTATTGCGACCATATTATTGAAAGGATATATCAGGAAGATTCAAGATAAGATTTAATATTATCGTATAATATTTGAAAGGTTCAGTAGTGATAGAGCAGTGGATTTCAGTCATTTTAATTTTCATCGCAATTAGCTAATTTCTCTTCAATTTATTTTGCTTTATATATCGCATTTAGTTCATTATTTCTGAGAGACTTGCGTAACAAACGAAGAGATTGCCGTATCAATTGAATTAGCTAACTGAGTAAAAGTCAATTTATGATTCAAATTGGATTCAGAAAATATTACTTCATTTGATTATATGAATTAAAACGATGACGATATTTTTATAAGCAGTTTCCATGACAGTTGCAAAAGAAGTAGAAAACTCATTTCATGGTCAAATTGTAATTGCTTTTTAAATATTGTTACATTTTCATTATCAGCTATTTTCTTTTGGAATTCGAATTCTTAATTCTTGCTTGTCAATTTATATTCCAACCTGCTGAAATTGTTCCCTTCTTATTGCGCTGAAGCTTTATGCTAGAAAAAGACTGTCAGTTAACAAAATGACTTATTCTTACTATGCAATTATATTATTTCTGATATTACCCTCATTCTGTTTGGAAGGAAATGCGACAGTTGTCACCGACATAAGAAACAAAGACTACGAAGTTGCAAAATACATAGCAGTTCTGTTCTTTATTATACTCCTGCTCTACGGTATTATAAGTAATACACTTATGGCAACCGTGTTGTTCTGTAAGGATCGGAATAATCATTACAGTCGTGAATTTACTCTTATTGTATTACAAGTGATTATTTCTAATTTCACGGCTTTTCTCCCGCAAATACTTGTTGTGTTGCCCGAAATATTTAAAACAAAAAATAATTCATACTGTAAGTTGTTTTAGGTTATTATTTTAAAAGAGTCATTTTAATACAAAAATTATTTGTTTAATAACTAATTTGCTTAAATTTCAGCAAGTGAAACGACGTGGATTAACCGCGCATTCTCAACTTCCAATACTTTTTCACTCTTTTCCATACTTCATTTTTCACTTTTGTTGACGCTGAATCGTTTTGTGGCACTAATTTTACCAAAATATCGCACTTTTTTCAAATCAGCAAAGCTGTATTTTCTAATTGCTGTTGTGTGGTTATCAGTTTTAGGTATGAATCATTGATGTACCTTAAATAATGATCAAAATGATTTCCAGTTATGCCATTATTATTGTAGAGGTTCTGGGCATCCAATTTTATTTGAATTTTTGTTAATGTTTGGTGCTAATTTTCAGCGATCACATCTGCCGATTTTTATTATTGCACCAGAAGATTCCTTGTGTGGAATCTCAGTTGGGAAGCAAATTGTGCAAAGTCAAGCGGAATAAGCCAGACTTGGTGGAGGTGATTGTTCAAAGTTCTTTTTCCAATTTTGAGCAATTCTTTAATTAATTAAACCACTAAATTGTCAATTTTTCCATGCAAACTTCTTCATTCGTGTTATTCCAAAACGTCACTCGTCTTTAATGTATTTAATATTTGCTAACACCAAAAATTTTATACTGTAATAGCCAATGTCTTTTCATTTGCTAGCCGCTACAGAAAATTCTAGATGGATATTAATATATTTTAGGATATCTTACCGTTGGGCATTGCTCATACCTAATATAATGTTCGCTATGTATATCGCCATACTCTACAGCATACGTCGTAGGCGTCATTTTGTAATATATGGTAACAGTGGAAAGCAACGTTTGTGCTACTTAATTATTTGTTTATATTATGAGTAATTAATAAAATTTACTGGTATATTCTAAATTGTTAAATTTTTTAAATTCCAAAGTTTTCACTCTCAAATCTTTGCATATTTCATTGCTTAACTATCAAGTATCTTCAGATATTATGAACATGGGTGCGAAACATAAAAGCAGTGTCATAAAAATTTCTTATTATGAATGGTCAATGTTAATTCAAGCTGTATGGAATTGTGGTGTATGGATAATTGGCGTTATTATTTTTAATTTTCTGTCACCATTGTTGACTAAAATTTTCGGCAAAGGAGCTGATCTTCCATCCAGAATTTTCATAAATTGTTACATCATTTTCATTTGCTCCGTATTGCCTACTGTTCATTTCACTTACAGTAAGCAGTCGCGTGATATCTTAAAACATCATTTAAATGCTTGGTCACAACTGAAAATGGGACATTTAGAAACAAGACTGCTTTCAAGGGCTATTGGGACGCACGGAACAATGTGAAGGCCTGAAGTATGGCATTATTATCGCGGATTTTAATATCGCGAAACTTTAAATATTACATGAGAGTTGAGAATCTTTGCAAATAGTGTTTATGCTTTGGACTCTTTGTTTTTAATCTTATGGTTAGTCTGTAAATCTTCTATATATTTTTTACATGGTATAAGCTCCTCATCTGGTTGACCTCATTATTGTGTCGCCACTAATTGTAAATTATTCTTGAATCTAGAAGTTAACAACTCTTGCTTAACTGATGTTCTTTTCGGCCAGTCAACTAGTAATTAGATTTGCTTGCAAACCAGGTTAACAGCTCTCTGTTAGATCGATTACTCTTTCGGCAGGTCAATCTCTTGTTGTAAATCACTTTGTTTATGCATATTGCTTGCTTGAAACCCTTGTTGAAAAGAGCATTGTGTGTTTCTACCAAGAACCAAGAGAGTTCAATTTCAATTCTTCTCTACCAAGTTGTTGCACTATTGTTTTTGCTAATAAAGGATTATTATATTCCTCTGTTACCTCGCATATTTACATTTACATCCAACTAATCTCCCTGGAATCAACAATCTTTCCCAAAATAAATTTTCAAATCTTCGACGATATATTTTGGTGCCTTGAGGTGTCGTGCGCGTGGTATTATAATTGCAGATATTTCCCGAGAAAAGAAAATTAACGATAAAAAAAAAAGCCATGCCCTTTTATATTAAGGACTACTGGCTAACATCCGTTTGTTTCACTACAAACAATGAATGGAACATTTGAGAGAAGATAACGTATAGCGAAGAAATGCGATAAAAGGAAGCATTTAGATTTTTATTGTAAAGTTTGTAATATCACGCCTGTGTCAATATATCAAATATAAGGATAGTTTGTGGGCCAGTGAACCAATAAAAATCAATATGACAGTTCCAAAAAGAAATTAAAAAGTCAAGGTAGTAATGTAACAAAGTCAGATTGTTTAACCAAAATGTGACAGAAATTCAAGAAATGTGACAGAAGTGACAGAAATTCAAGTGTGTTTTTTGTGTTAGTTCAAAACCGAACTTTGTATATAGAAATTAGCAAGTCGATTGGAGTTACAAGAGATAGAAGAAAAAGAGTTAAATATATCGTCAATTTAGATATCTAATTACTATATAGGATATCTAAATTTAAAAAATGTAAATTATGCCTTACTCGAAATAGAATTTAGAATAAGAACTAAGGAATCAAAATCATGATGGTCAGGGCCAATGTTGTAGATTATTTGACGAGCAAATTGCAAGTAATCAAGTTAAACCATTATGATTTTATGGTGAATCAATTAGTTAGATAACGAAAAGAAATATTAGAAACAGCCTGATATATTTGTAGAAGCTGACTACTTCATTCAATCAAATGGGGCCTTACAAATCTTGATTTCAAACAGAGTTAAGTAAAAGTTTTTTAGAGTATGCTTGCCTATCATAGAAAAAGAAAGCATTGGTTCTATTTCTAACTTTGAAAATAGAAAAAGCAACTGAAAATCTATGATAAATTATTTTTATTGTATTTCAACAATTTGCAAATATGGATGAGAAGAAAAATTAAATGTTTCATGCCAATTGTTGAATAATTATATAATTCTATGCAAATCGCGTAATGAAAGGGTTCATGAAATGATATATTGTGATTAACAAGAATCTTTTTTTTCCCCAAAAATTTACTTCCACGTTATTTATATGCAATAATCAAAGGAGGAATACAAATGAGCAATCTCATTTCATCAGTAATTTAACAACAGCGATACTTACTTACTTACTTTCTAGTTTTTCGTGCATAGCATGCATAGTTACTTGCAAATAAAATTAATGGAGGAATTTAATGTTGAAAAAAGTATTGCACGAAAAACAAAAAAGTAACACTGATATGTGCAATATGATAACTTATCATTAAAAAAGGAATAAGTAACAAGAATTTAAACAACAGAAAATACAAATAATCAACAACAGAAACAGCAGAGGGCTATACTTCTGTTTAAAGTGCATAATTTTAATGACTGTGCATGTGCGATTTCAAACGGTATTTACTATAAAAACCTTTACTGCATACAGTGCAGTTATGGATAGGTCTATTCTTGTCATGAGTTGCCATGTGAGACTGCAAACTGTGTTTTCGTACGAAACTTTTTCTGCATACCGGACAACTGTACGGTTTCTCACCAGTATGAATTATCATATGTTCTTTCATGTGCTTAAACTGAATAAAATTCTTTTTGCATACCAGACAACTGTATGGCTTTTCACCGGTATGTATCATCATATGCACTTTCATATTCGCGAACTGAGTAAAATTCTTTTTGCATATTAAACAACTGTACGGTTTCTCACCGGTATGAATCAACATATGTTTTTTCATACTGAAGGACTGAGTGAAATTCATTTTGCATATCGGGCAGCTGTGCCGTTTCTCACCGGTATGAACAATCATATGCCTTTTCATACTACTGGAGCGAGCGAAATCCTTTCCGCATGTGGGACAACTGTACAGCTTCTTACCGGTATGGGTCATCATATGTTCTTTCATATTTATTACTTCCTTCCCACACATATTGCAAAGCTGCTTCTTTCTGGTCTTTTCTTCTTGCTTCGATAGTTCTACTACTTCCACCAGTGTTTCGATTGGAACGAGCTGACGCCGCGATTCAATTCGTTTATCACTCACTCCCTCCACTGATAAGCCTTGCGATTCATCTCCTTCCTTTTCCATTCTTGGAGCTGATAAATCTAGGGGTTTTGTTTGAAACACTTGCAATCCAATCTCTTCTTCATCCTCTCTTTCCATTGATAAGCCTTGTGATCCATCTCCTTTCTCTTTCACTTTTGATATTGATAAATCCAACGGTTCTGTTTGGTCCGTTTGCGCTTCCTCAAATGATATGAAATTATCAGTCTCTGCTGAATTTGAAATCTCCAAGGTATTGCAGCGCTGTGTTGATTTTTAAAATTTAAATGGACTTACGATAGTTTGAATATTGCTCAATTGGAAGAGGAAGAAGAAATAAACGAAATGCATGTCAATGAGAATAATTTCTTGTTAATTCTGGAAAACATTTAAATTATTGGACGGTTGCTCATAAGAAATTACACCGCTTTTGTTTGACAGATGCCTATAAGAGAAATTTCTCCATGTAAATGTTTTTCCCGATATAATGGATCATTTACAAATTTATAATTGAGTTGTAAAATCCTTTTCTTATGTCAAAGCTCTGAAAAAAGGTAACATCCTCTGCCGAAAGAAATGAAATAGACTTACTGAATGAAATTTGTTGAAGAAAATTTGGTAGAAGTTACCCGATCAATCTGTTAGGGTTGCCGGAAAATGGTATGTATAAATGCACATTCAGATGGGAGTGGCCAAGTACGTGTGCTAATAAGTTACGTCCACGTATAATAATAGAGGTATAGTAATGATAACAGAATATATAATATTACGTATAATAATGTGCAATCACTGATTAATCCCTTACATTGAATAGTTTCATTTAGTTGTTATAATGCATTGTTCAAAATAATTTATGCAAAGCGGATGTGACATTTTTTGTAATTTTGTTTCATTTAGCTTCAATTTTTTCACATTTTCAAATCTTTAGGATGTGACATTTTTTGTGTGTGATGTGACAATTTTCAAATTTGCTTTGTCGAAAAAGTTATACGTAGTTTAATTGGTTGTATTGATATTAAATTTAGTTGATCGATAATTTGCAACAAATTGAAAAACTTCTGTTAACAAAGGATTGCTTAAAATGTTCATCACACAATATGTTATATACAATGACTGTAAAAAAAAAATTTAATAAGCTTAATTTACACATATATATACAAAGCAAATTTGAAAATTAAGTTTAAAAATGGAGCAAGCAAAAGATTAGAAAGATTTGTTGAAATCATTTAACATTTATAAGCTAATATTATCAATTATAAGAGATATAGCAATGCAGTTTTCAACTCACGCTAAAAAAATTTAATAGCAATACAAACAGTTAAACTAAACAGTTAAACTATATGTTTTGTTTCATTTCGTTTAAGTTTTTCGATAAAACAAATTTGAAGATTAAGAAATGGAGTCCAAACAAAAGTTTGATGAAATCATTTAGTATTTATAAGTCAATATTTCAATTATATGTTATGCAGCAATGTAGCTTTAAACTCTCGCTAATATTTCAAAGATTTGAAAATGTGAAAAAATTGAAGCTAAATGAAACAAAATTACAAAAAATGTCACATCCGCTTTGCATAAATTATTTTGAACAATGCATTATAACAACTAAATGAAACTATTCAATGTAAGGGATTAATCAGTGATTGCACATTATTATACGTAATATTATATATTCTGTTATCATTACTATACCTCTATTATTATACGTGGACGTAACTTATTAGCACACGTACTTGGCCACTCCCATCTGAATGTGCATTTATACATACCATTTTCCGGCAACCCTAACAGATTGATCGGGTAACTTCTACCAAATTTTCTTCAACAAATTTCATTCAGTAAGTCTATTTCATTTCTTTCGGCAGAGGATGTTACCTTTTTTCAGAGCTTTGACATAAGAAAAGGATTTTACAACTCAATTATAAATTTGTAAATGATCCATTATATCGGGAAAAACATTTACATGGAGAAATTTCTCTTATAGGCATCTGTCAAACAAAAGCGGTGTAATTTCTTATGAGCAACCGTCCAATAATTTAAATGTTTTCCAGAATTAACAAGAAATTATTCTCATTGACATGCATTTCGTTTATTTCTTCTTCCTCTTCCAATTGAGCAATATTCAAACTATCGTAAGTCCATTTAAATTTTAAAAATCAACACAGCGCTGCAATACCTTGGAGATTTCAAATTCAGCAGAGACTGATAATTTCATATCATTTGAGGAAGCGCAAACGGACCAAACAGAACCGTTGGATTTATCAATATCAAAAGTGAAAGAGAAAGGAGATGGATCACAAGGCTTATCAATGGAAAGAGAGGATGAAGAAGAGATTGGATTGCAAGTGTTTCAAACAAAACCCCTAGATTTATCAGCTCCAAGAATGGAAAAGGAAGGAGATGAATCGCAAGGCTTATCAGTGGAGGGAGTGAGTGATAAACGAATTGAATCGCGGCGTCAGCTCGTTCCAATCGAAACACTGGTGGAAGTAGTAGAACTATCGAAGCAAGAAGAAAAGACCAGAAAGAAGCACCTTTGCAATATGTGTGGGAAGGAAGTAATAAATATGAAAGAACATATGATGACCCATACCGGTAAGAAGCTGTACAGTTGTCCCACATGCGGAAAGGATTTCGCTCGCTCCAATAGTATGAAAAGGCATATGATTGTTCATACCGGTGAGAAACGGCACAGCTGCCCGATATGCAAAATGAATTTCACTCAGTCCATCAGTATGAAAAAACATATGATAATTCATACTGGTGAGAAACCGTACAGTTGTCCGGTATGCAGAAAAAGTTTCGTACGAAAACACAGTTTGCAGTCTCACATGGCAACTCATGACAAGAATAGACCTATCCATAACTGCACTGTATGCAGTAAAGGTTTTTATAGTAAATACCGTTTGAAATCGCACATGCACAGTCATTAAAATTATGCACTTTAAACAGAAGTATAGCCCTCTGCTGTTTCTGTTGTTGATTATTTGTATTTTCTGTTGTTTAAATTCTTGTTACTTATTCCTTTTTTAATGATAAGTTATCATATTGCACATATCAGTGTTACTTTTTTGTTTTTCGTGCAATACTTTTTTCAACATTAAATTCCTCCATTAATTTTATTTGCAAGTAACTATGCATGCTATGCACGAAAAACTAGAAAGTAAGTAAGTAAGTATCGCTGTTGTTAAATTACTGATGAAATGAGATTGCTCATTTGTATTCCTCCTTTGATTATTGCATATAAATAACGTGGAAGTAAATTTTTGGGGAAAAAAAAGATTCTTGTTAATCACAATATATCATTTCATGAACCCTTTCATTACGCGATTTGCATAGAATTATATAATTATTCAACAATTGGCATGAAACATTTAATTTTTCTTCTCATCCATATTTGCAAATTGTTGAAATACAATAAAAATAATTTATCATAGATTTTCAGTTGCTTTTTCTATTTTCAAAGTTAGAAATAGAACCAATGCTTTCTTTTTCTATGATAGGCAAGCATACTCTAAAAAACTTTTACTTAACTCTGTTTGAAATCAAGATTTGTAAGGCCCCATTTGATTGAATGAAGTAGTCAGCTTCTACAAATATATCAGGCTGTTTCTAATATTTCTTTTCGTTATCTAACTAATTGATTCACCATAAAATCATAATGGTTTAACTTGATTACTTGCAATTTGCTCGTCAAATAATCTACAACATTGGCCCTGACCATCATGATTTTGATTCCTTAGTTCTTATTCTAAATTCTATTTCGCAGTAAGATCCTAAATTATAATTTTATATCTAAAATGACGATATATTTAACTGTTTTTCTTCTGACTTCTGTAGCTCCAATCGACTTGCTAATTCCTAGATACAAAATTCGGTTTTGAACAAGCACCAAAAACTTAATTCTTAAGAAAAAGTTGTTGACTTCATAAATTCAAGGATAATTTACAAATAGTGGCGACACAACAATGAGTATTGTGGAATGTATTGATTGCCAGATATTTCACTTGCCTCAAACTTGGGTAATTAAACCATACAAAATTAACATTAACTCAAAAATCAACATTATAACAACGCGCAACACATAGATATTATAAAGGATTTGTTATAATTATAAAGCACTAAAACACCCACCAAAAATCACCCCAAAACGTAGAATGAATAACGGTAAAAAAGGGAAGATTGGTTAGTTTATATACAGAACCCGAAAACCGGCGGAAACATTTGCATGAATATAAACAAAAATTGTTAACAAGTTTAGTTTTTTGTTGTGTGAGAAGAGAGGAAGTAATTAGCATAATCGCTTAAAGATCTAGACACGTGTTAATTACGAATGCAAAAATATTTGGTGATTGACTCATCACGCATCTGGCAAAAAATATTAGGATTTGAATGTAATTTAAATATGTCGTTCTTACGACAATGAGGTCAACTAAATGAGGAGCTTATACTGCGTAAACAATATGTGAAATATTTATAGCCTAACCATGAGATTGAAGCAAAGAATATAAAAGTATCGTTGCAAAGATTTCATAGAACATATTTTTCACTCATATGTTTTTTATTTAAATTTCATTTGAAGACAATTGGAGTAAATTGTATTTTTCCTAATTTTGATCTTTTTTTTAAGCTCTTTTTTTTTTGTTCTTCTCACTTTATTATTTTATTTATTTTTCATCAGCGAAGAAAATGTAACTTATAATAACTTTATAATTCATAAGACAACTTTAAGAATTATATGTGGATGATCTGTGAATTGCCTAAGAAATTTTCAATCCTCGAGCAAATTTCAGACTTTCATTAGTGCTTTTGCGTTACAAATTGATAGAAGCATTTTTCACTTTGTACTATACAATCTGATAATAATGGCAATGTTCAAGTTTTAAGCTTGTAGGTGCATTCTGATAAATTCATAGATTCAAACAATGACTGTATTCTTTTTGAAATGTTTGTCCCTTATGATATTATATAAAATATATTATAATATGATAGTTACTGTAACAAATCCTCCCTATTATTTTATCAAAGTTATTTATACTTTAGCAAATCCCTAAAAAGCCTTTTTGTATTTACCATAGTTTTATGTGAAAAATTTCGCTGTTTAAATCTGTATTAAATTAAGCATTTAAATTTTGATAATAACATATAGTATAGTAATATGCAACTGCAAAAGAGTAGTATAAAACCATAAAAATATAATATGGAATTTATCATTAATTAAAGTTATTGCTGCCAAATGAATAATGGATAAACTAATAGTTCCGAAAACGAAAAAAAAAAAAAATGATAGTATTACATGATGGAATGATGAATTAAGCGAAACAATATCGTAAAAAACTGTGGACTTAATTATTTAAACTATATTATCAAATAACTTACACGTAACTTTTTCGCAACCATATTAATAACATGATAATATGCAAATAATTAATACTTGAAATGAATAAAAAATTTTTTTTTAATAATTAAATTTAACAAATAATTAAATTTTATCTAGTTATAATTTAATCCATAGCTTTTGCAATTTCCTTCCTTTTCCTGCAGATGTTAGTGAACTATTATCAGTTATTGATATTGATAATAATGCTTCATCTCTTAAATGTCTTAGGAAAGTCGAATAAATATATTTAACAATAAATCGAAATTGCACGATGAATTAAGCAAAATAATATCGATAAAAATCTTGCACTTATTTACTTAAGCCATTGGAAAGAAACATATCATCAGCTGCTAAATTAGTTGGTTGAAAATACACAGTAAATTCTGAAATTTAAGAATAGTCTAAAAAAATTTAATTCTCGAATTACTTATTATGCATTATTAGCATAGCAATTTATTCAAACTTTATGCTTCAAGTAAAATATTTTAAGCTTATAGATGCATTCTGATAAAATCATAGATTCAAACAATGACTATATTTTTTTTTGACATGTTGATCTTTGAAATGCTGATCTCTTAACTCCACGAATTGATCGTTTAAATGTTGATGTCTTAACTGGAAGAAATGATGTTTTAAAATTCTACGAGCTCGATTGTTGCAGAGGAAATAAACAGTGGGTAATGCAGCATAAATGAAGATAATATAACAATTAATGAAAATTCTTAATGGAATATGAGCTCCTTCACCAAATATTTTAATTATAAGCGGTGGCAAAAGATAAACAATAATAAGCTTGATTTCAAATACGCCACAGGTCAGTGCTGCTTGAACTAGCATGGATCGCTCATAAATATTATTTCTTGCCATATTCAGTTTACGTTTGATTGACATTGAGCTATCTAAATAAAAAATGAATAAAATGATCAGTAGAGAAGTAAAGAAATAATTGAGAATTTTGAAGAATGTTCTCTTTTAAAACAAAAATTATTTGAAAACTGTTATTTGGAATAGTTAATAAATGCGATAAATCATTATGAAAAATAAATACGATAATTCATTATGCAAGAAATAATAACAGTTGAAACAACAATAATAATAATAATAAATAATTGTTATCAATAATGGTTAATAATGCTTAGATTTTCGGACAGTAAATGTTTCTAATATTGTTGGAAAAACCGATAAAATTGTATTAAAACTAAAAATTGTCTCACACGAAAATTTCTCAGACAAATGTCCCATTATCATGCAAAGTTTGTTAGCAAAGAATGCATGTTGGAATTTGCCATCAATTAGATCGTTTTACAATTATTAGCTCCTTATTTAGTTGACCTCTTTTGTTTAATCTCTTTCATTGTTTATCCATTAGAAATTAAATTAGGAATTCATAAGCATTACATCAGCATTTTATTTAGCTGACTTACTTTGCGATATTGTAAATATACGTATTATTATGAAATAACCTTTATCAGAATAAAACAAAAATTAATCAAAGCAAAAACTATTCGAATCTAAAATCTACTCGAATCAGATAGACCCTACCTCATAACAAATACAGTAATATATATATATGCGTATCCTGAAGATTCTTTTCTGTCATCATACAATGGTACTATTTCCTCTCATTCTTTAAAACTTACGATCCTATCCATCAAATTCATTTTATAAAATCCTTTGGATTTGTTCGATCGGTTAGTTGGAAAATCTGACGTGATTTTCGCTTTCCTTTGTGTTAAAATTGTAATTGCTGAGTTCTTGTATTAACTATTATGTCAGAATAAAAATTTAATTACTTAAGCTGTCAAAAAGAAATTGACAACAATAATGTAATAATAATAAAAATAATAATTGTAATTGTAATAATATTTATCATCATAATTATTAAAATTAATAATAATAATTAGAATTGATAATAATTGAAATTACATAATAGTAAGTGGTGATAACAACAAATAATGATACTGATAATGATAATAGTAGTGATAATAACAATAATAAATGATAAATAATAGTGGCAAATGATTATAAGTAGTAATAGTGATAATGATATTTGTTAATGGTTATTTTTGATAATAATCAATGATAATAATTGTAGCAACAATGATGATGACATTAGCAATAATAATAATAGTAATAATATTATCACACTAACTTTGATTATGCTGAATCATTAATACAGGCTGACGTTTACGACGTATATTATAGAACATTGCAATGTACATAATAAACATTACAATAGGTGACACTGATGACCATATGTAATGAATACTGGAAATAAGTGAAATAATTTTTAAATGTATATTTAATGTAATAATAAAAGGACATTCACCTGCTATATTAAAATTTTTTGATTATTACTAAATTTCATGAAATATCTCGAAAATTAATTGTTATTTATTGGAGTAATGTGAATATAGAGACACATTTTTCGAAGCCTTAACAGTCATTTGAAATTTTCATATTTGTTAGAAGTGAAAGAATAAAATAACACATAAATTGGACCTTGTAAATATTGACTTTGGCCGTTTTGTGCAATCTCTTATCCAGTGTAAG